AGCGGTTCAAAAGTAAATTTGGAAACAGTTTGAGGTCACTCACCTCCATGGCTCAGAAATCATCCATTAAATATCATTGCCTTGCTCAAATCCAAGTCTTAAATCACAAACTCAATGCAAACAAGTTCCTTCAAAGTTCGGACAGCACTTCCCCTGAATTTGTTAACTTTTCCAGCCATCATGGCTTCATTATATCCTCAGCCAGTCCCAAAGGTACATACACAACAACAAGTTCATCCAATAGCCATTCAGCAAGCTCCAAGTAGTACAAAGACAAGTCCAGCTAGGGAAGAGTCCGGAAATGAGAGTTTAGCTCAAACCAGAAAAACAGTTTTGGACGTCACTTTGCGGTAATGGCACAACTTGCACTACGATTATCGGATTAGGGTGTAAGATACACCGTTTCGAAGCTAAGAACCAGGGCTATAACAATGTAGAAGGTCACTCAGTCCAAATCCCAGCACAACTAAGTCAAAAATGCAGAAAACCAACCCAGAACCGTAATTGCAGGTTCCCAAATCACACAAAACTGTAATTCATCTATCTCAGTCTATACAGGTCGAAATGCCGAAATTCCAAAGGCATATGATAGCTAAGACATCAAGATACATTTCATCAGAAGACACCAACAACAAAATCCAAACCAATTCCAGTCAAAACAGACAATTACAATCGCAGTTCGCACATTCTGATCACCCAGAACAGAAACAGTAAAAATGGTATAACTGACTCTACACTACTCCAAATGCCCTGAAAGTTTACAGGCATCTCAAAAACATCAATACCTACAACTTTCATGTTTCGAGCCAAGGCCAATTCGGCCTCTATCTATGACCTAAAATTTCGGACAGAATGAAGAACCAAGAACCCTAATTTCCAGAATTCCTTCCAAATCCAAAATTGATTGCAATTGCCAATCATTTACATCCACTAGAGGCATAACCCCTTGTTACCAACCATCATAAACATCCACAAGACCATGATCACATTAAACCAGAAAATTCCCAAAAAAAATAAAAACTCAACCAAATCACTTCAAACCAAGAAATAAACCACAATTTCTAACACCATAGCCACCATTAGGCATAAATTCAACATCATTAGATATAGGAGGGTGTTCATATACCACTTACCAAGTAACCAAGAGAGAGGAAGATGTTGGACACCTTAAGCCTTCAAACAAACTTCACTAAACTACTTCCTAGCACCCAAGGAAGGAATTTTATGGAGTAAAAACTAATTTAAGCAAGTAGTTTGGATGATTTGAGCTAGGAATTTGCCAAGATGTTGAAGAGTTTTGTCTTTCTTCTTGCTAGAGAGGTTCGGCCATCAAGGGGTGAAAAATGGTAAGTTTTTTGTGAATTTTGAAGATATTTAATCCATAAGTCAAAAGGTCAAAACCATGAATAGTAAATCATAAAGTCCAACCAATAGAAAAATGACACATGGCATCTCATTAAATGCAATTCAATCCTTTCTTTTCTCTCTCACATCAATCACCTCACACTCCTTTACTTATCCATTAACACCCGATAAATTTTACACAGTATCCAGAATTTAACCTAATTGGCCGAATTTTCCGAACTTTTCGCACTAGTGGGTCCCACGTCCGTTATATATCCGTAATTTCTCAAAAACTCTCCAATACTAGAAAAATCATTTGAAAACGATATTTGCTCATAAACTTTATCTGGGGAATTTTTCTAATCAAGAAAATGTAGAAAAGCGGGCGTTAAACAAATAAACCCTAGAAAAGTAGAAAATTTCCGGGTTCTCAAACTCATTTTTTTTCGGGGCGTCACAATGGTCAAGGAGTGGGAGATGTTAGGGGCAGTTAGTGAATGGAACCCTAATTTGGAACATCAGAGGGTGACCTTTGGGAATATCCGGGTAACATCTACTATTCTTGATCGAATTAAAGAAGCCCAAGGGAAGGATCTGATGGTACAAAAGTGGAAGGACAAGGTAGAAAAGGGAGCATTACCTGATTTCAATTTGAGTCCTGAAGGGATTTTAAAGTATAGGAACCGAGTAGTGGTGGCCAATGATGAAAACCTGAAAAGAGAGCTTTTGGAGGAAGCCCATCGATCGAAATACACGATCCATCCTGGTAGTAATAAGATGTATCAAGACTTGCGACGGTTGTACTGCTGGGATAAGATGAAGAGGGAGATTGCTCAATATATTCAAACCTGTCTGATTTGCCAGCAAGTCAAGGCTGAACAGCAAAAACCCTCTGGACTTTTATAACCTCTTGAGATACCTGAATGGAAGTGGGAAAATATCACGATGGACTTTGTTTCTGGATTGCCAAAAACTCAAAAAGGATATGATGCCGTTTGGGTAATCGTTGATCGGTTAACCAAATCGGCTCATTTCTTACCTGTGAATATGAAGTATTCCATGAATAAGTTGGCTCGGTTGTACATGGATGAAATTGTGAGGTTACATGGGGTCCCAGTGAGTATAGTTTCGGACCGAGATCCTCGTTTTGTATCGAGATTTTGGCAGAAGTTTCAGGAGAACTTGGGGACCAAAATCAACCTTAGTACCACTTATCACCCCCAGACGGATGGACAGTCGGAGCGGACAATTCAAACCCTCGAGGATATGTTACGGACTTATATTCTAGACTTTGGGGGTAATTGGGGCCAGCATATGACTTTGGTAGAGTTCGCCTATAATATCAGTTACCATTCGTCCATTCAAATGGCACCGTATGAAGCTCTCTACGGACGGAAGTATCGTTCGCCCATTTATTGGGATGAAGTAGGGGAAAAGAAGGTTCTAGATCCAACAACCATTCCCTGGATGGAGGATGCACAAGAAAAGGTTAAGTTGATCCGTCAAAGACTCCAAACAGCTCAAAGCCGACAAAAGAGCTACGCAGATAACCGAAGGAAATATTTGGAGTTCGAAGTTGGAGACTGTGTTTTTCTTAAGATCACGCCACTACGAAGCGTCACTGTGGGTAGAGGAAAGAAACTTCAACAACGGTTCGTAGGACCTTACACGATTCTACAACGAGTTGGGAAAGTAGCGTTCCGACTCGAGTTACCGTCAAATTTATCTCGAATTCATGACGTTTTCCATGTCTCGATGCTTAAAAAGTACTATCCTGATTCAACCCACATTGTGCAACCAGAGGAGATTGAGATAGATGAGGCACTCACCTACGAAGAGAGACCTGTACAATTACTCGATCGAAGGATTAAGGAACTGAGGAATAAACAAATCCCTTTAGTAAAGGTCTTGTGGAGGAATCATGGAATAGAAGAGGCAACTTGGGAGGTGGAGGAGGAGATGCAAAAGAAATACCCTGAGTTGTTTAGTAACCTAGGTGAGCAATTTCGAAGGTGAAATTCTTTAAGGGGGAAAGGATGTGAGAACCCAGAAAAAAAAAAAGAGAAAAAAAAAATTTAGGCATTATTTTATTCCGGTGCACCCGTTTTCTTTTATTTTCTTTATTATATTACTTTTATCAACATTTTATCAGTAAATATAGTTTTTAAATCATTTTTCTAGTATAAGTAGTTTATGAGAAATTAGGAGTGGATATTGGACGTGGGACCCGCTAGTACATTAAGTGAGAGAAATTTGGCCAATTATGTTAAATTTTGCATAAAGGGATTTAATTAGTAGGTGTTAGGAGATAATTTGAGGTTACCTAGATGGATTACCCATGAGGAGACAAGAAAATGACTTCTAGCAACAACAAAGTGCCAAGTGTCCATTTCTTATTGGAATAGACTTGCCTCACTTTTGTCTAACTTTCTTTAACTTTACTTTTTTTTTTTCTCGAAACGATAATTGGTTGTATTACTTGACAAAAGATTTACAAGTACGAGCAAAGGCTCGAATGAACTTTACAAGCGGCTTTACTTGCCACTAAGGAAACCAATGTTCCTCATCTAGAATAATGCCCAAGGCATAATTACTAAGCTTGGTGCTTAGTTGATTGTTATCATTACGAACTAGGCAAAAGGAGCACTTATGAAACAAATCTCTGAGTTGTAAAATATCTTCCACAACAGTAGGCAATCTGATATCCCTTACACCTGGTGTTCGAACCTGATTGAGGAGCTGTCGGTTTGGCACTTGAAATTGCACATCCCTGAATTGCAAAGTCGCAGCTTTACACATTGCTAGCTTCAGTGCAGTTGCTTCGTCTAGCAGTCCTGAACCTGAACTGCTTTCTCGTAGTGTCCAACCTCTTTTTGCATCTTGATTTCCTTCCTGCAAAGTAATCCCAATACCGAAGCAAGACTTTGTCATATCTCTAGTTATTCCTATCCTCAATATCAAGCACCCATGTTCAGGATTTCGCTGCTGATTCTATTGATATAGAGCTTCTGTTTCATCAGTGCTCATACTAGTTCCCTTCCTATCTATTTCCCCAAGTTCTAACCATTCCTGGTGCGCCTTCTGGATTGTCTTCCATGGATGACTTTCCTTACCATTGAACTCCTCCTCATTTCTGTCTTTCCATATCTGCCAGAGAATATGGACTGATAGAGCAATATGTTGCCATCCTTCAGCTCTGGTTCTTGCATCTAAAATTTCGATCCACCATCTTCTGAAACAGCCTTGGTGTTCCATCATACCTTCCCATTGAATGGGGGCCAGCTTCCATGTCTGTTTAACTTTGCTGCAATTCAAAAGGGTATGTTCAATAGTTTCCCTGTCTTCTCCACACCTGTTGCAGATGGGATCACCTACTTTAATTCTACGAAATATGATGTCTCGCACAGGCAGTGCATTGTTAAGGCATTTCCATAAGAAAACCTTCTGTTTCTGCTTCACCTTCAGTTTCCATAAGTCCTTCCATAACCTTTGGGATTGATTTTCCAGACTTGTAGAACCCTCCAGTTGGTTCCTTTGCTGCCTGATATCTTTGTTCATAACCAGTAGCTTGTACCCTGAGCTGACTGAATAATGGCCACCAGCCCCTTTTATCCAAAAGTTTGCATCCTCCTTTCCTGCTAAACTAACAGGGATTGTCAAGATAGTTTCTGCATCTTTTTATTAAAGTGTTTGAAGACTAGATTTCTGTTCCATCTTTTCTGGCAAATTAGCTCATGTACTTGCTGAAGTGCATTATCAGAATTTCTCGGGGTTGTCACTCTTCCATCAAGTGTATCCGGAATCCACCTATCTTCCCAGATATTAGTTTTCCTCCTATTTCCTATCTTGCGTCTGGTTCCTTGTTCCACCAACTCCCGGGCCCCCATAAGACTCCTCCAAATCCAAGAAGCATTGTTGGGAACTTTGCACTTGAATATAGATGATCGTGGAAAATATTTTGCCTTCATGACTTGACTAACCAGCAAATTAGGTTGTGTTAGCATCCTCCACACCTGCTTGCCAAGGAGAGCTGTATTGTAAGCCATCAGATCTTTGAAGCCTAAACCTCCCATGTACTTGTTTCAAGTAAGCTTTTTCCATGCACACCAATGTATTTTATTCTTACCATTTGCCTCCCCCCACCAGTAATTTGCCATTAAGGAACTAATTTCCTTACACAATTTGGATGGCAGCTGGAAACAGGACATGGTGTACGTTGGCATAGCTAAAGCCACAGATTTAAGCATTGTTTCCTTACCAGCTGCACTTAATAACCTGTTTTTCCACTTTAGCATTCGCTGGTGTATGGAAGTCTTAATAAATCCAAAAAGCTGCTGTTTTGATCCTGAAACTACCACTGGTAGTCCAAGATACTTGCCCTGACTAAGTCTTTGCATATTCCCCATGGTTTGACAGATCTCGTCCATCAATTGTGGCCTGACATTCTTACTGAAGAGTATGGAAGACTTTTCCAAATTTATCTCCTGACCTGACCCCATGCCATACACTTTCAGCACCCTCCTTAACTCATTTGCCTGATCCAGATTAGCTTTGCAAAAGATCACAGAGTCATCCGCAAAGAGAAGGTGTGTTATACTAGGTCCCTATCTACTAATTTTCATCCCTACGAGCTTCTTAGAATCTGCCGCCTTCCTGATAAGGTTGGATAGTCCCTCAGAGCACAGAAGGAATAGATAAGGGGATAGAGGGTCCCCTTGTCTAATTCCTCTTTTTGGAATTACAAACTCTTTAACCTCCCCATTTATATTAAACGAGTACGACACAGACTTCACACACTCCATAACCCAGTTCCTCCATTTACAGTCGAAGCCCATTTTTTCCATTATTGCCTCCAGGAAACTCCATTCAACTCGATCGTACGCCTTGGACATGTCAAGCTTCACTGCCATAAACCCATCCTTACCTTGTTTCTTGTTTTTTAAATAATGCATGTACTCATGAGAGACCATAATATTATCAAGAATCTGCCTACCAGGAATGAAGGCAGATTGATTTTTACAAATGCAACAATGCAAGACACTTTTGAGCCTGTTTGCTAAGATTTTAGCTATCACCTTATATAAGGTAGTGCAAAGACTTATGGGTCTGAATTGCTTTAGAGATGTAGGAATCTGCACTTTGGGAATTAGAGTGATAATAGTATGATTAACACTCTTTAGGAGGTGGCCAGTATGAAAAAACGTCTGAATAGCCTTTATCACTTGTTGTTTGATGGTTGTCCAGAATTTTTGGAAAAAAGTGGTGACATACCATCAATCCCAGGGGCTTTTTCTGGATTCATAGAGAAAATTACAGATTTTATTTCTTCTTCCAACACTGGTTTTAACAGGTTTCTATTCAATTCATCAGTGATGGTATGGGGAATACCATGCAAAACCTCATTTAAGTCCTCTCCCTCATTACTGTCCAGCAAAATCCTATAGTAACCTGCTATTTCAGTACTCAACTCCTCCTCACTCTCTGTCCACGTCCCATCCTCTCTCTGGAGTTTATGCAAGCTGTTTCTCCTTCTCCTTCCCTATACAGATGCATGAAAAATTTTTGTATTTTTGTCTCCTTCCTTGAGCCATTGTATCCTTGATTTCTGTTGCCAGTGCTTCTCTTCTTCCTTGTAAGCCTTACTTAACTCTTTCTTAAGGGCAGCCATACTAATATTTCTAGAGTTCCCTCTAACTTCTTTCAAGTCGCATAGCTGCTTTTTAATGAGCTCAATCTTGTCTCTAGAGTTAGCTTGGAAGTTGTTCTTCAATTTTAGGAGAGCTACACGGCAGTTCTTAATCTTTGTAGCCACTTGATACATCCTTGACCCCTCCACCTGCTGTTCCCAAGCAATCCTGATTACCTCCCCAATGTCCTCTCGTTTTAACCATCTTTTATCGAAAAAAAACATGTGTTTCCTTCTGCTCGAGCTCATCATTGTGTCGAACATCAGGATGCTATGATCCGAGGCATAAGAATCAATATGCCTGCAATTGACCTTATCAAACACCTGAAACCAGGGGTAGGTGCAAAGACCTCTATCCAACCTTTGTTTGACTTCACCCTCTTCCTCCCAATTGTTGCACCAAGTCCACGGATGACCAATAAATCCAATATCCAGCAAATAATTTCCATTAATAAAATCTCTGAAGTCATGAAAGGATTTCTCCTCTCTACGAATCCCTCCCCACTTTTCGTCATTGGAGACTAAATCATTAAAATCCCCAGCTATCATCCATCTATCTCCCCACAATCTTTTCCCATTAGCTAAGACTTTCCATTGTTCTTTTCTAATCTGATGATCACAGCTCGCGTAAATTCCTATAAACCACCAATCAGTATTAGCTTCCATATCCTCCACGTGAGCTTCAATGGTAAAGGAAGTCATAAGGACCTCAAGAATTTTCACCTCATCTTTCCAGAAAAGAGCCATACCTCCTGCCTTATGCATAGCCTCAACCACCACCATTTCTTCAAATCTTAAAATGTTTTTCACTTTTTCTAAATATCTAGTCCTATTTTTGGTCTCACTTAAAAACACTAAACTTGGAGAGAAGAGGTTATTAACCTCTCTCAACTGGGGAACTGTCAAGGGGCTCCCCACTCCTTGGCAATTCCACACCTGGACCCTCATTTACCCCCTGGGGTCCTTATAGGGAAGGATCCTTCACCCTCTGCCCCTAAATCCTCTGAACCTCCAACTATGTCGAGCTTACTCTTTTTCTTTTGCAGGTCTTCACCCTTATCAATATCCAAATCCACTTCCAATTCATTAATTTTTCTCTTCCCAAGGTTTTTCAGATTCCCCAGATTAATACTGATCCCTTTTAAAGCCTGTTTACGTTTACTAGGAGCTCTCAGAGGTCTCTGAGCCCTTCTAATATGCTTCCTAACAACCTCTTGCTGCTTAGTGATGCTCACATCATCTACTTGCATGACCATAGGCTCATTTTTTGCCTCCTCAGTGTCAGCCTGCACCTTGAAATGCATCTGCTGCTCCCTCAAAATAGTATCTCGTTCTCTATCCACTTCCATGAGCGGTTGTCCAACCTTTTCCTTCCCCGCCAGCTCTTCTTCATTCTTTGTTAACCCCCCTTCTGAAGTGGACATAGGGACCTCTACCTTCACTCCTCCTATCTGGCTAGGGAATGGTAAGGTATGAGCGGGTGTAACTCTCGACGCCTCTCTCTGACCTACTACCAACTCCTGTCCCCTATTCCTGTTACTCTCCTCTGCCAGTCCTTTATTGCTCTCCACCCCCTGTATATTGGGAAGACTCTCCCCCCTCTCGATCTCTACCCATTCTCCCTGCTGGTATCTCCAGTGCTGACTTGGAGTATTAACAAAACCCCTGTTTGGTTTTTCTGTGGCCCCATTTTCGCGTTCCCAATTCCCGCCCTCATCCAGCTCCCATATTCGTTATCCTTTTTCCCTTCAATCACCCCTCCTGCCATCCCACAAGATCTCTCACTATGTCCTATTCTTCCACACCTATAGCAAAAATCCGGGCATCTCTCATACTTAAATTGAACCCATTTAGTCACACCAGCCACCTTAATAGAGGTGCCTCTTAACAGGGGTTGATCTATGTCGACCTGAACAGCTAACTTGAGGTGCCTACCCTCTTTTCCTCCTGTTTGGCGTATAATGACATCCCTAACCAGATGAAAAACAGAGCCTATCTTCTTACCAACTTCCTTAGAAATGCAATGGACAGGAAGATTCCAGACTTGCACATAATGATGCAGTATTAAAGGCTTTAACATCATCTTCTATCCCCTCATACCATTTATTCATCACTAATAACTGGTTATCCAAAATCCAAGGACCTCCCTTAACTATTCTATCCCTATCACCCTCCTTAGGCAAAAAGAATTGAAACAGGTTCGGTCCTAACTCCGCAACAATCATATCTTTGGGGTAACCCCATGCAGCAGTAACAAAGTTCTTGACTCCTGTATAGTTGGCTATCTTCTCTCCCACAATCTTCCCTAGCAAGCTGCCTTGACATTCCTTTATACCTAGTGTTAACTCCTCTGTTCCAATCTCAGTAACCTGCATTTCTTTACTGGAGAGGGTGAAACCTTTCAGAATATCCGCTATCTCCTCAGCCATTGGGCTTGAAAGGAGGTAGAGATGGTAAAATTCTCACACACACACGAAACTGAACAGAAACCCGATAACCCCAAACTGGGAGATTAAACAAATCTGTTATTCTCAAGGTAAGACACAGAAAAGACAACGACAGACCAAAACAAGATGAACCTACCTCTAATGCACCTACATTACCAAACAAGGTAAGAATAGACAATGTCCGTGAGCTGACCTGCCAGTGAAAACCCACACCATTGATGCATCGTCTTCTCCTTTAGATCTGGAACCTCCATTTACAGCAGCTTTAATGGAACCCCATGATGTAGTATTATGGGTGTCAAGTACAAACTGCTCCTCAGAATAGTGACACTTCCCTCCTACTTGCTAAAATAGGAATCCGACACAGAACCTTCTACATCAAAGTGGAAGTGATGAGAGATTTGTCTGAAAGTGAAAAAGGTTGAGTCTTTTAATTCTTTATTGCTACTCAGTAACTTTTCAGATCTTCCACAATGGAAAGAAAAGCTCTCTTTTTAGAGAGAGAAGGTCCCCTATAAGAGAGAGGAAGGTAACAACCATCATCACTTTCTTTAACTTTACTAAAAGACTAATTTTGACCCAAATAATCTTCATTCTCTATCTCCCTTGGCCGAACCTCTCTAGAAGGAAAAGAAAAGAAAGCTTCAACCTTTCATCTTCTATTCTTGCACAAATCTTGAAAACCAACCGATTATTTCGTGAATTAGTCCACAAAATTGACTTGCTAAGGGAGTTTGAAGGATTTGGTGGAGTTGTTTTGGAAGAAAAAGCCCTAAGCTACTACCTTTCTTGAAGAGTTAAGGTATTTTGCTTGAAACTCACTCTTTGTTCCTAATAATGGCCAATTGGTGCCTTATGGTAGCTAATTAGTTGATTTTATGGAAGATTTTATGGATTAGAGTGAAGTTAGCCAATTTTCTGATTTTTGTGGGAATTTTTCTGTTTTCCTATGATGGATATGGTTGGGCTTGAATTGATGGTTCTAAATGGTGTTAAATAGCTCTCTTGTGCGTTAATTGCGGAAAATTTCGGCTTGTGCGGAAAATTTCAGATTTAGGGTTTCTAATTGGGGGTTTTCTATGGTTGATTGTTGAGCTTCTAATTGGCTATGATTAAGGGGTATTGTGACCCTAATGAAGTATATTGAATGGCCTATGAATTGTTTGGGTGCTTGTGGTTGTTTGTGGATGCATTTTAATGGTTGATTGTAGGTTGGAAAAACTGAAATTGTAGGGGAAATGCTGTCCAAATGTCTAGGGTATTGGATTCTTGTGAGTTGGGTTGAGATTGGATAGAAATGAACGATTTTAGGGTTTGTTTCTACTTTTACCCCTAAATGTTATATGTTTTTCATTTCCATGCTATATTTGGTTTTTGCCTTAATAGTTCGTTTAAAAAGGTATTCGACTCGTGTTTGAGTCTTACTTGTACTTTCTTGATTATTATAGGAAGTGCCGGTGATCTGAGGCTCACGTCGGGCGAAAACTTGTGAAATTGCTTTGTTTGACTTGGTGAGTGTACTACTCACATGTTTGTTATTCCGTGGCTTCCTTGTGCTTGAATTCTGTGGTTGGACTAGTTGTGATTATTGTTTGGGCTAGGTGAGGCGAGGGTGTACTTTACCACTCTCGTACTCTCTGGCCTACTTGACTATTTACTATACCATTTGCAATACTCTTGATTGTTGTGACGCCCCCGCTTCTCCCAAGGGCGAACCCTAGGGTATCGGCGAGATGCCTGCCTAGCTCGCGCCAGGACTCAAAATTTCAAAACAATAAAACTAGATAAACCCACAAGCGTACTATTCACAATATATCTAACGCCAAAAGAGTTCTATTTTGTGAGAGCCCGTAAATTTTCTTATTTTCTAGACTTTACTTTATTTAATTGCACGCCTTTATGCATTTTCTTTATTAGAAAAATTTTCCAGATAATTTTTATGAGCAAATAGAGTTTTCAAGTTATTTTTCTAGTATAAATGAGTTCATGAGAATTTTGGAGCGTATACTGGACGTGGGACCCGCTAGTGTGGAAAGTTCGGTAAAATTCGGCCAATTGGGTTAAGTTTTGTATACAAGGTTTAATTTACTAGGTGCTAAGAGATAATTAGAGGATACCATATGGATGAGAGTTGAGGAAACAAAGGGATATTCATGCATTAAATAGGGTGACAAGTGTCACCATATGATTAAATCTTGCATTTTGATCACTATTCATTACCTTTACTAAATACCAAAATTTGACCACAAATCATCTTCAATTTCTTGTGTCTTGGCCGAACCTTGGAGGGAAGAAAGAAGAAAAAAAAACTTCATCTTGCACCATTCTTTCTTGCTTCAATCTTGGATTCCAACCATAAATCTTGCAAACCTCTCCATATAAGTTGCTCTTTGGGTTAGATTAAAGATTGTGGTGGAGTAATTTTTGGAGAAGAAAACCTAAGCTATCATCTTTCCTCAAGTTTCAAGGTAAATTCCCTAGAACTTTCCTTTTACTCTTGATAATTGTCAATTAATGGATTGGAGAGGTTAAAGGTGTAGTTTTGTGGATAAGTTTATGGTTTTAAGTAGGGTTATGGTGAATTTCAGTTTTGATAGTAAAATTTCTGTCCTCATATGATGATTAATGTTTGGGCATGATTTGGTTGTTGTTATGAGCAATTTTTGAGCTTGAGAATGCTAGTTTTGCTTGCCTTCAAAGAATTTCAGCTTGTATAGAAAAATTTCCAGATTAGGGTTTACAATTTTCCCCATTCTGGCCGGCACTGTTACTCCTAGTTAGAGGCCGAATTAGCCTTGGGTTAAAACATGAAAGTTGTAGAGAATGATTTTTTATAGTTGCCTACAAAATTTCAGCTCAATCGGAGCAACGTAGCTTGTGAAACGACCGAAATATCCCTGCTGCCCTGTTTCTATCCGAACATGCTAATCAGCTTCTGTAATTGGTGTTTTTGACCAGGAATACTACTGATTTGGTGCCAATGTCTTCTTAACATTTATAGCCTTGTATCTTAGCTTTCAAATGGCTTTGGAATCACTTGAATTGGAGTTGTGTATGCTGAGATATGACTGAATGAATCAGGACTGCCACAGTAAACTTCGAATTGGAAAATCTGGGGTTATTTTGGTAAATTTTACCTAGATACATTGCAAACTGGACTGAATGGCCTTCTTCAACATTGTATCCTTTTCTCTTAGCTTTGAAACGGTGTAAATTACACCCCAATCCGATAAGTGTAGCTCCAGTTGTGTCCATTCCGCTAAATGACGTCAAAACTGTCTTTTGGTTTTAAGGTTTATAATTGGGGCTTTTCTAGGGTTCCTTTGTTGAGCTACC